CCGCCCTGCCCCGCAGCCCAGCACCTACCGTAGAAGGTGAGGTAGCCGAAGAGGGCAGCCAGGAAGTACATGACGTACATGACGGCGATGGACAGGTTGGAGATGTGCTGCATCTTCCTCCTGGAGGGACTGTGGTGCGGGGGGAGGGGGCAGGGGAGGGGCTTGGTGCCTGGCAGGGCCACACTGGGAGACAGACCCCATGTGCCCCGGGTCTCTCTGGTATCCCCCCCTCACCATGTGCGACTAGGAAGCCTCCTTCCTGCCCCGCCCCCCGGTTCACCCCTCCTGTCACCTATAGCACATGGAGGTCCCATCACCCCCCTTGCAGGACACACCCGCCCCCGCCCTGCCCCCACCAGCGCAGGCAGCCCGCCCTCCGCCAGGACCTACTCCTTGAGCTCCGTGTAGATGGGCAGCACCTCGGGGTGGCAGACGAAGGCGAAGGCCATGATGGGGATGGTGTATGCCGTCTGGGGGACCAGGAAGACTGTCAGGGCATCCCCCTCCGACTCCCCCGGCCCTGCCCCCGCCCTGGGCCTGTCAGAACCTGTATGTTGAGTGTGAAGTAGTTTGGGGTGCAGGAGTCTGAGCTGAAAGTCTCCCCCAGGGGCGGTGTCCCCTCCCCAAGGCTGGAGTTGCTTGTGATGTTGGCGGAGGTGGAGAGCAGTGGGCATGGCACCTGGAACTTTTTGTAGATGACCTGGTGGGGGTGGGGGAGGGGAGGAGAGTATCAGGGCCAGGCGAGGCTGCCTGGAAAGTCGCTCTGACCTAGACCAGATGGGGGAGCTGCCGCCCGTCTGACAGAGGAGCCCTAGGAGACCTGCCTCCTCCCTCTGACAGGGGCCCTAGGGGACCTGCCTCCTCCCTCTGACAGGGGCCCAGGACCTGCCCCCGACCAGCCCCCTCCCTCTGACAGGGACCCTAGGGGACCCGCCTCCTCCCTCTGACAGGGGCCCAGGAGACCAGCCCCCTCCCTCTGACAGGGACCCTAGGGGACCCGCCTCCTCCCTCTGACAGGGGCCCAGGAGACCTGCCCCCTCCCTCTGACAGGGACCCTAGGGGACCCGCCTCCTCCCTCTGACAGGGGCCCTAGGGGACCCGCCTCCTCCCTCTGACAGGGGCCCTAGGGGACCTGCCTCCTCCCTTGACAGGGGGCCTAGGGGACCTGCCTCCTCCCTCTGACAGGGGCCCTAGGGGACCTGCCTCCTCCCTTGACCAGCATGGAGGGTGACTCACTGCAACTAGGAAGAAAACCATGCAGGTGAGCGAGAAGCCGCTGGAGTAACCCAGGTAGCCTGCGGAGTCGGGGAAGGCGCTGTGAGACGGGGTCTCCTCTGGCATATCCTCCCAATACCCCCTCCACGGCCTGGCCCTGTCGCTCACCGAGCTGCCGCATCAGTGCCAGGGGCAGAATGATGGTGGCCGAGACCAGGATCACCAGGTAGTTGCCATCCATGTACCAGTCCCTGCAGGATGGGAGTGGGGAGCGAGATCAGAGCCCATGCAGCCCCGAGTGGCGCCGGGGTCACCAGTGGTGCCTGCCCGGCACTGAGGCTCCCCGTCCCTCTGCAGCGGGCAGCCCGTCACGCTCTCCTGGGTGAGGCGAGGGCCCAGGCGCTCGGCCACTGCCCGGGCCCCACTCCATCAGGCTCTGCTGTTTTCTCAGGACCCGGAGGTCTAGTCCGCCTCCCCAGGGGGCAGCCCCAGGGGCCCAGGAGGTGGCTGGGATGAAAGAAGCTGGCTCTGGGGGTGGGGCCTCTTCCCTGAGTCTCAGGGACTTTCCAACCACCTGAGCCCCTGTGGTCCCCCCTGCGGCGCGCCGGCACCATCCTCATCCTGCCGGCCACGGGCAGGGGCTGCAGGGAACTAAAGGGACGAGGGGCAGGACCGTCCTCTGGGCAGGACCGAAGGCCAGCTCCTGGGGAACGGCCGGGGAGGGGGTCCGCTGTCCCCTCTTCCCATACTGCCCTGCGTCAGCCCCTCCGCTCGCTGGCTGTGGCGATGCCTGTGGCCGAGGGCACGGCCTGTCTTCTCCGCCCGACTCACCAACGCGGCTGAAGCCATCGGCTGAACCGATGACGGGCAACTGGGACACGCTGGGCTCTGTCTGGGTGGGGCTCACCCCAGCACAGCGGGAACAGCAGGCGCTTAGAGCTAAGCCAAGCTCCCGGGTCCTCCCTGCTCACAGGCTGCGCAGGGCCAGGCGGCCGGTGTCCTCACCAAGCCCGCGTGGCTCTCCCGGGGGGTCCCCTAAGATCAGGAGCTTCGTGGCCAGGCGTGGCTGATGTCAGTCCTGCTGGCCGCTCTCTGCCCCTGCCCCTGCCCAGCCATTATGGGGTCTCTCCCACTAGCCCCACCTGGGCTCCCAGGGCCGGGGGTGGACATGCTGGGTGGACACCCTCACCCAGCCCACCCCACCCTGAGGCTCACGAAGTTTTCTCCTCCAGGTTCAGGAAGGTCTGTATGACCAGGGGCAGCTCGGACTTGATGATGTACAGGTAGCTGGACATGGCTGGGGGAGGGGCGGGCAGGCACCGGGTCAGCGGCCCTCCCTCCAAAGGAGGCCCACTATGGCACCTCTCAGAGCATACACCCCTGCACACACCCCTGCCCATACCCAGCATGGGGGTGGGGGTTGGAGAGGAGCTCCTCAGGGGAGAGACCAGTTTGCACAGGAGCTGTGAGCTGCTGGCTGTGCTGGGCACTGAGTGTGTGTGTGGCGGGGGAGGGCGTCATTCATACAACTCTACTGAAGGATAGCTCACAGAAAGTGATGTTACCACAAGCATTTAGCTCAATGCGGCCAGGGCTGCACCCCCAGAGGCACATGCTCAGCAGGCCCCGGGGGGGTGGGGGGAGCTTCGGCCGGTTTAACCCAGAAGGACCGTGACCCAGAGAGGCTGTCAGCTCGCCGCTCCTCGAGTTCTCAGAACAGACGTGTGTCCCATCGGCTGCAGGCAGACTCCCCGGTGAGGACATGTGTGCACACAGGCCTGGCCACGGGGCTCCATCACGTGTCGCTACAGAAGGCGCAGTGGTCCTGCCGGCAGCTCAGCGGCCCGCTGGGAAGTGGGGTGCACTGGCCTGGCCGGGCTGGTTGGGCCATGGCTTGGGCTGCGTGTAAGTGCCCATCCCTGCCACCCGGGCCTCGGGACAGGAAACTGGGGGGTCCTGGGGTGGCCTGCCTGGGGCTCCGTCTGGGGAAGGGTGGCAGCTGGCACTCACAGGAAGAGGATGATGCCCGTGTTGGCCATGGCGAAGGCCAGCCCCAGGATGCCGCTGCCCATGATGGCGTTGCTCAGGTTGAACACCGACATCCCGAACGAGGTCTTCCCCTCAAACTGCGGCGCCGCATGGGAGGGAGGGGGTGGGTCAGCATCCCTCCCGGCACCTCGGCCTCCCTCACCACCCTAGGCA